TGAAAAGGCTTATATCAAATAGGGATTCGTCATAATTTTGTCATAATGGATGAATGTATCTAGTCTGAACTTGGGTTTAYAAGTACGATGTGTTTGGTTATTAGCGTTCAAATATATCGTTGACTGGKAACCGTTGGTTTTTAGGTATCCCACATTCCCTTTTTATCGTGATAGAAATGATAAAACCCTGGAACTCGTTGTTTGTCGATCTCGATGCCACTGGATAGGACTCGGTCTACCATTTCCCAATCTTCTCCTCCCCACTTGTTAGTGAATTCTTTAACGTTCATTCCTCCGAASYTGTCCCAGTCTGACTTGTATATGGCTAGAGAGACAAGGAAAGAATGAACGAAAAAATAAAGAGATGGAAGGGAAGGAAGGGAGGGAAAAAGGGAAGAAGGAAGGAAGAAAAGAAAGAGAAAAAGAAGAGAGAATTTGATGTTAGATATATGAATRAATAAATAAATGAACAAATGCATTTGCCTGCTGCAAAGCAGGCGTTCTTATGGGTTTTTGGAAGAATCGGAGTTTTGGGGTTCCTGTTTCAACTAAGTGCCCGCGAGAAAAATGGGACCTAGCTACTCACCAAAAATTCCAAATCCAAGTGATTCCCAAAATCCGCTAGGGCAAACATGGTTGGTTCTTGGTCTACCACAGGAATCCAGTCTGAATAAAATAGGAGCAAAAGCCAGTATCCYCTGAAATGTGTGCTACGAACGAAAAGAAATAAAGAAATGGTAATTTTTSTAAGTGCATACATGAATGTTAATATGCTTTTCAAGGATTTCTAGTCAATAAAGAGTGTTTCGAAATACACGAAATTGCGTGRCGGCTACGGTCTCAGAGCTTTAATCATCTAATCATTTATTCATTTAACCACATCTTCTGTTACTTTTACTTGTTCGAAATCTAGAGATATTTGTGATACAAAACGTTACTATCTAAAGAAAAGAGCGACAAATCTAGAAACGTTATAACTTACCCGGTAGCTGGTGTTATATTTGACTGATTGAATTTACATTAAGACATTATCGTACTTATACACTTATACTTATATTATACAAAAAGCGTCCCCTAAGATCGAGCATAAAAGAATCCTATTATTCTATTGTATTTCTTCTTTCTTAAAGTGTAGCTAAGTGCCCCTAATACCTAATCACAGACCTTATGTAAGTTGAAGATATATTCATAAAAATGCGAAAATCCAAAAAATTTTCGAAATTGGATGCATTCCTGATTTTTAAATGAGTTTTGAAAACGCGCTTTTTCATATAAGGACCGCGCGTGCGGGGAACTGGTGCGATTACGTCAACGGGGTGATACGTTCCAAAAGCGAAAGACTTGCGTATTCTTCCAAATTGGAATCACTCGTACAATAAGTAAAAGTTYATTATTTCGGCTTTTTTTCGTTCTTAAAACTTTTAAAAACAGCACTCTTGACCCACAAAAAAGTTGGTGTATCACCCCGATGACGTAAGTCTATACGATTTTTCAGGCTCCTCGAACGCGGTACTGAAATTTCGAGAGTGAGTGGAAACGAGAATTTTGCCAACTTTTTCGTGTCGTAAAGAAGCAGGAAGTCGTTTGAAACGAAAAAAACGCGTTTATGTCAATGTGAGGATTTGTTCTAAACATGTTGGTCTGTGATCAGGCATTAGGGACACCTTAAGTATTTTCGTAAACGAAACAAAGAAATAACACTCATGCTTTGATTTGTTGTTCTTTTTATACATGAGATTCGAGATTATGAAATTTCTAACCCTTGGATCAAACCAGCAGCTGTTTCTCGGTGAGTGCAACGGTCGTATGGCACACCGTTCGAAGAATGCCACAGTTGGTAACGTTTTTGCTGCAATAGACCTTATTCGTGGTGTGACAATGGTTTCCCAATTCAGCGTGACGAACCTCCAGAGGATTCTTTTTTTTTTTTTTTCGTTTTTACTCTTCGAAAAATTCATGAGTATCCCAAAGGATACGAAAGGAATAACGATGTATCCCGACGAGTTTCAAAACAATAGCTCTTCATTCCCCTAAAGCTTCATCACGCTGAATTGGAAAAACATTGTCACACCACAAATAAGGTCTATTCTGGGCAAAGTTGTACGTAGGGTGGATAGCGCTATCTGACGAATAAATCCTTCTCCAGTGGATAAGTCGATGCTGATCCAACCTTCGTACAACCGGGCAGTGGGCGGTAGAAACATGGAAAAAGGCGCATTCCATTGTCTAAAAATGCTGTTGTTACATCGTAGCGTATAACGTGACATTGCGTGACAGACATGCGCAGGGGAGGGAACGAAAATTTATTGTATGTCAGAAGTAATCAAGGAGCAAAGATTGAAAGAGTTAATTCTTTTCTACGTTCATCTACTTGTCACATTTTACAGTAACGAATATAGAAATTATTCTGTGTAATCTCCCACGATGAGCCTAGCTCTTGGAGAGAACACAGAGAGTTAATTTGTTTAAATAAATAGAAAAGAAAAAGAAAAAAAAAAAGTAAAGAAATTCTTAATCGACATGAAAGACACCACACTGAACATCACCTTTCTTATCTTGTCAAAGAAATCTGGGCTGAGCTGTAAATGGAGGTCCATTAAGAGAACAATACCATTTGGATCTCTGACTCTACTGGCAGCAAGATTGATTGAAGCTGTCTTGTGAAATACTCCAGTTTGATTGATAACTTCATAATTCCTTATCCCATACCTAGGATAACAACAAATCAAACATATTTYGATCCTCAGTGTCCTCACACACCTGGTTTAAAAAGCAATTGTATCTTGGTTGGTTAGTGTCCTGCTTGCTAAGCAAGAGGTCCATAGTTTGATCCTAAGTGATCTCACAAACTTGCTTTAAGGAGCAAGTGTGGCTTGGTTGGTTAAAATGCGTGGTTGATATGTTATAGCATTTACCGTTGCATTTCGTTACCAATGTCAAGTCCATCATTACCATAATCAACAATAATAGCATTGATAAAATTGTCGCTTGTCTCCTTTACCACACGCGAAACATCCTTAATAAAATACAACACCCATTCTGCTTGATTCTTGACAGTAAGAACGATGTTAATCCACACCTTAGGATTCCAGCTGAGATCTTTAAGAATACAAAGTTCATGTTGGCTTTTATTTCGGAACATGAATTCAGAGACTCGTAGTAGTTTGTTATCTTGGTGGCGTTTGAGAACCAGGTCGAGAAGGAACCGGTCTCCTCTTTCGTTATCGTGAACACTTTCTATGTGAACAATATCGACSAGTTCGAAGGTTCTAGAAAATAACCAAAACTTTAAGGTGAGCAAAATTTGATGATGTCTAGTGGCGTAGCCAGCATTTTCCAAGAAATAAGGGAGGTGGGGTTGCAAATTAAGAAAATGACGATAATTCGTTGTCTGATCATGAGTAGCGTGTCAATAGCTAGGAAGACCGTGTGCTCACAGCAAGGATTCGTAATTGCACGATTTGTTGCACTGCCTCCCCCCCCCCCCCCCCCCCCCCCCCAATTGTTATGCATTTAATCATATATGAATCTTWTTCCCAAAAGTTTTTGAATCTAAACAGTTACGCATTTTGTTGTAGCTGTAAGATGTTCTAATCTAGTAGTCTTACCCCGGAAATGCTTTGCSAAGTCCATTCATGAATGATGTTGCTACTAAGTCGACGTCGGTTTTGTTCATAAAAGTAGCTCCTTCCCAGCGATCATCATCCTTATCTTTAATCCGTGCAAAACGAACGCTCCAAGACCCATCATCAGGATAAATCTTTGGATAAAAAACGKTAWAAACGCCAGAATATCGTTTGTATTCCCTCCTTTTCATATGACTTGGCKCAYATTTACATGTTGGAAAAGCTACCAACGAATAATTTCTTTCTATATAAGAAAGTCCTCGTACATTTTGCCTGTTAAATTGCTTATATTGAAGTGACTTGGTGTTATGTTCGGGCGGAAAAGAWAGCCCAACGACTTGGTCTTCTTCATCAGAAATTAGAAGACTTGGTGAAGAATTATCAAAATGAGTGCATTGCGAGTCATTCCCAGACACATTGAAGTAATGAGAGAGATATCTGCCATCAATATTAGTGAAGAAGGGTTCTCCTGGTAGCATCCATTCGAGCCGTGTCTTAAAAACATCTCTCCCATAACCAATTCCTCCATTCAAAACCTTTAAAATCTCAAAATAGTATTTCTTGTCATGTTTAAGGAATATCCTTTTAGATTTGTGCAAGGRAGAGTTTCCAACGAAGTGAACTAATTCACCGATCTTGTTGCGTGTGGTGTAGGCTAGTTTAGTAGCGTTGTCTGGGCCGTTTGTGCTAAGCCAAAACTGGGCCATGAAGTAAGAATCCAAATAAAAAGAATAATATCCAGATACAGGAGGATGGAGATATCCCATGACTCTTAATCCAAACGAACTCCCTTCCACAATAATCTTCAATGCGTCTGCAATCTCCAAGTACGAGTGAACCGTTGGATGACAAGGAAAGAAAGGATGCTGTCTCAAGCTGTTAAAACTCAACGTACACATACCTCTCCAAATATCCATGTTAACCTTTCCATGTGAAATTTCAGTGTCCTCAAAACCCTCAATTTTTTTCTGCGAGTGAAATACTGTATTTGTGTAGTCGTTATGGTATAAAGCACTGCCTTTCAGCGAGGGAACACCTTCGTCATAGTGTACGCACAAGAAGTAAACGAAATTGCTAATAACAAGAATAAAAATTAACGTTCGTTGTGGTCTTCTGACTTGGAAGAATCTTCTCCACATCTTTGAAAACATTCAACAATTCTTCGTCAAAGTTACTATCTTATTCTACTGCAGCTGTCCAAACAATGCAAATTTGCTTCAAGTGTCAATTACTTTGACACAGTTTTGACCACGATTTCGWCGGGCGGTCGGTCGTTAGCAGTACATGTTATTCTAATTAAGAAATAAATACAACACTGGGGAATTGCAATTTTCTTTAACAGTGCTAATAAATAGGGTATAGGGTACATGGTGGGGATATTTGCATAGGTTTTAGTACTAAGGCATGGGAAATGATATCAATTTCCTTTGTTTGAAGAATTGACACATACATTTCGTGAATGCAGCAAAATGAGGATAGACGCTACCAGAAAAGCAGGAGAATGATATGGTACGGCACCAGAATTGGCAAATTATGAAAGTTGATAAATTTGCGAACTTTTTTTGCTAGTATATGATATAATTTTAGCACCATACTTAAGAAAAAATGGTAAATCATCGAGTTGATTTTTCATAGCTTGGCTGACGTCACTTCCGTCCGTACGTTCTTCCCTCCGTCCGTGTACACAACACAGGGATCCCGCTTGATGTGAAAGCAAAACTACTCACAAATGTGGCTCTCAATATCACAGAAAAAATCGCTTTAGGACTATAGACCAAAAAAAATTTAAAAAAACTTTCATGTAGTCAAATATGGATCAAGAAGCGTTCTTCAAGAATTCAGGTATATGTTTTTGATCGTTCAAGTGCAGCTTAGGAGGCGAACACACGCCTGAATTCTTCTTTGCTTCGCCGATGAGACCCCGCGATACATGGCTGTTTCGYGGGGTCCCATCGGCAAAACAAAGAAGACTTTCATTCAATAATTTTATATCTTTCTGCAGATAATTTATTCAAGCTAAAAACAAAACAAAAACATTTACAAATGCCAATTTACTGACAAAGAAATTCGGCATTTTGTATTTTGCATTATTCTCTATTTTGTCTCAGTCCCGGTTCTTGTCAAGTTAACTGAATGTAAACTTTGTTTTTGAAAATTTTTGTCGTTCGTGATTTCCGTGTCTTTCTCACACATGAAAACAGATGAAAACTGGTAAAATTGAATCTCAAAATCTAGTAAGCTTAGTTTTCAAGCTTCTTGAAAAGAAGTTAAGGCTTGTATGAAAGAAATAAAAACATATTAATGAAGAATTAGGATAACAAAGCTATTTTTAACTGATGACTCATTTGGTTTTAGCGTTCAGGGCCTTATTTCTCAAGCTTAGTTAGTTGATGATCTCCAGCCAATTTTCTCTCGGTTGCTACCAAAGCATTTATTTTTTTAATTTTCATTGCGGTAAAAATACATTTCATATAAAAACATCAAAATTCCTATGGAAATCCAAACATCGCTATGTAAAAGACGTAATTAAGGATGGTGCCTACTAATTGCGAACCATTTTTATTTTTTTCAAATTGTGCCAGTCATTTAAATCACCCAAGAGGCCACTGGAATCCGAAAAAAAATGGGGGTGCCCACGCATCTAAGCGAGATAATTGACGTTAAACACCGATGACGTAAGCACTTTTTCACGCAAGGGAAAAAAATCATATTACAAAGTTGTTTTGATCGATTTTATCTGAAACTTGTTTCAAATAAACGACAGTCTAAGCAAACAGGTAGAGCGTCAATTTGAATCGCAGCATTAGCGTATAACGCTTGTTTTCTGGGAAACTGGCTATTTTTACGTCGCAATCCTAATAAGGTCACAAGCTCGCATTCCTAACATTGATCAGCAACCGTAATAATATAATAATAATATTAATTTATAAAGCTCAAATACAAATCTGTTTTAAGCGCTAGTAAAAAGGATTATTACCAACGACAAAGACAACGACAAAATAAAAACTATTTACAAAAAATATGCTAATTTGAAGAGATAAGTTTTAAGTTCAGTTTTGAATGAGGCCAGACTTGATGCATTTCCGAGATATATTGCAGAAGTGAGTTCCAGAGTTCAGGAGCAGCTACAGAGAAGGAGCGATGACCATAAGCTTTAAGATTTAAGATTATAAGACTGTGCTGATAGGAGAACTTGTGATGAAGAACGAAGAATACGGTTCGGTTTATACACTGAAATATATGAGTTCCCGGATATAGATAGGAGATTGGCCATAAAGAGCTTTGGCCAARGGCAAACGTCGAACTAACCATGAGCTTAATTTAGTCGAACCTATTACATTTGAAATTGAATAGGTTCGAGTCCAGCATAAGTTCGACAAGCCAAGTCGGACATTACGACTCTGGAGCGACTTTTCGGCAAACGCCGTTTTAAACTGAACTAAATTCATAAATTATGCAAAATAGTAAGTCAATCATGCAAGTCGCATGACTTACACCAAAGCCGTGAAAACAACCCACTCCCCCACCTCCCAAACACTCATTCCCCCCTGGYGAGCATGCGCTATATGCAAAGATGAGTGATGAACGAGACCGATACGAAAATCAATTCAAAACTATCCAAGCTGAACATGTCGGCGTTTAGAAAATCCTTGCCATGAGACGACTCTTGAGTCTTGTAGTTTTTGTTTTGACCAAACGAAATATGTTTGCCTGGTTTGTGAGATGCCGACCTACAATAAATGTGCTACGAATCTAACGGGATTATCTATTTTATCGACAAGCAATAGAATTGTGGTATTGTGTTTAGATATTTTCATTGATTATTGTGAGAGACATTATTTATTTTTGTAAATCTGCGTAATCGCTGGTCCGTAAAAATGAGACACTCAATCCAAAATATTATTTYGAATCTTATATTAGARAATTTCAACAAAATCTATTGTCTTTAAGATCATCAGCTCAAACAGATTAACATTTTTTCTATCAGGTTTACAAACTTGTATRAATGCTGAAAAAGTAATCAAATTCGAAGTTTGGATTTAAATTCGATTTCATTCTCGGAAGATTGGAACGACCAAAAATCTTTTTTAAGAATGGAGTAATGTAGTCTAGCTGGGCACGCTGTCCTTTGTCCCTTTGACTGTTATTTGTGAGAATGGAAAACGATGCCTTTTTCGTGGTATGGATGTCTACTTGAAGGAACCAAAAAGGGGCAAGTTTTTTGTCTCGTTTGTTCCTTACTCATTACAAAGTAAAGAAACGTAAACCGAGTGTGATAAGATAGTTTAGAATGRAGTAATGAAATATGTTATTACAAAGGAAAACGCATTTACGTGTGGACGCGGTCTTAGCTTAACAATATGAACCAATATATTAAACGACTGTTTGTTATTGATGATACAATTATTTCGGAAAAGGTTGTATTTGAATAATGTATAGAGAGTTGTGATGTACCGTTGAAATTTAGAAAAGCTTTTCTGGTCATGACATTCAAAACCAGAAATGATGATGTTGGTTTTGTATGATTTGTGAGGTTCTGCCTTGATTTATGACACTTCGCTACACGACGAATCCGAAACGTAAGGTCTTACATGAAAAGTCGAGTTCACTACATATACTAAGAAAGGGCAGAGAGATGTTTATAAAAAAACATCTCGGTATCACATGTTTCACACTTTTTCAAAAGCAGGAACTCTTCAACTCGAAGTAAAATTCAAGAGCTAATATAATAAGGACAAGCTGGTGTTATGAATTGATCCAGAAACCTTACCTTTTCCTTTGAATTTGAACGCCTAAAAGATCCAGTCCAAGTCTTCCGTAGTCTGGAAGATTGAGAAATTACTCACGCGAGGTTTCCTTTCCTGGTGAGTATACGTAACAGAAAATMCGGCAACACACCACTCCACGTACAATAGGATTTTTTTACAAATACCAACAAGACGCTCTAGTTGGAGCGTGCACTGGGTTGCCCAACAGCTGGTACGTCAGTATGCTGGAGCTTATTAATACGGTGGCCCACAGGTACCACTGCAATAAACAAAACTTCACGGCAATAAACAAAACTCCACGGCAAATAACAAAACTCCACGGCAATAAACGAAACTCCACGGCAATAAACAAAACTCCAAGGCAAAAAGACAAAACTCCACGGCAAAAAGACAAAACTCCACGGCGGAAGTGAGACTCGTAGAGAGCCTTCGTTCGCCTTGGCCAGCAGGAAAACAAAAGGGCGGACTCAGTCGTCTCAGACGAGGATTTTTCTGTGGAAGAACTTATAACTTACAATTTTTATAGGGGGTTTAAATATGAAGAAATTCGCATGTTTTTACAAAAACATCACAAGCTAGAAATAAGGCGAATCTATCCGCGTACAATGTCGACGATGTCAAGGCGAAAATAAGGGAAATTGTAGATGGTCATGGTTGTTGAAGGGATATCGGTCTGTGTGGTACACACTTCAACTAAATGGCATAAGAGTCCCTAGACTTGCAGTGTAGTCACTTTTAAGGGACATTGATTCTTAAGGGACAATGGAAAGAAGGGCGCATAGACTGAAAAGAAGAAGCTATCACAACCCTGGTCCAAACTTTTCTTGGCATTGTGACGGGCACGACAAACTTGCACCTTTTGGATTCCATATATTCACGGTTGTTGGCTTTAGCAGAAAAGTGTTATGGCTGGTTGTTTCACGCACAAATAGCAATCCAAATAGAATAGCCACTTTCTATTAAAATGCCATTCACTCATTCTACAGACATGATTCCACATGCCATCGATACGCACCATCTTCTAGAATCAAAAAATTGAGTCGTGGTGTTCTAACTACAGGAGAAGCTCATCGACTTGGTGGATTAATTTTTTAAAAGATCTAGTTGATCAACAGAAGATAGACACGTCATCTGAATTAGAAATGGATTGCTTGTTGTTCATTTTTTTAGATTTACTCAAGAATATACTCATGAATGAKATCAAAGAGGAGTGGAATACGCATTACAAGTTCGTGCTTCTAGACATAATAACAATAATTATAATAATTATACAGCTTCTCATTAATCCCATATAGGTAACTGTCCAATTACTTTCTTAATTGGACAGGTCTTGTTGATATGGGATTAATTAGGCAGCTATATAATAATAGGTAATGGGATTTCATGCTCCCCAATCAAGAAATAATTAGACCTAAAAAATTCCTCTGACTGCCAAATTGGACTCGGCCTACGGCCTCATCCAAGTTTGTCAGTCCTCGGAATTTTCCTCGTCCAGTTATTTCTTAATTGGACAGCATGGAGTCCTATTACATATACTAATTGTGGTTCTAAGGCATTACAAAATCTCAATGCCTTTACATTAAAATATATAAACTAAGAATAAAAATAAACTCAAGTAATAAATATGGTCTGACTACTTGGATTATAAATTGAACAGGTATGTTTTAAGTTTCTTTTTAAAAAGCTCTACTGATAATGCATGTCTCTAATGTCCTTTGGGAGAGCGTTCCACTGTTTTGGGGCAAAGATAAAAGTAAGAACGATGAGAAATGTACTGTCATTGAAGTTAGATCGCAGAATACGGCGATGGGTTTTGACGTTCAGTAGTTCAGATACCGGTGACCGTGGAGTGCTTTAAATACGATTAGAAGGATCTTGAAAAGAACACGTTTTTCAATGGGCAGCCAGTGTAAATTACTTAAAACAGGTGAAATATGTTCACGTCTTGGTGTTTTTGTCACAAGCCTGGCTGCGGAGTTATGTATGCGTCGGTCAAGACCTCGGGCACAGTTTTTCCCTATCCGGACCTCCTGGCCGGTAAATAACATATATATCTGGTGAGCGGTCCAGTTTATTATGCCTGTGTAATTGCTTCAATATTTATTTTAGATTAAAAGTTCACATAATCACTTTGCAATCATGGATCCGGTCAAATACTATGTACTTATTGACTGAGTGGGAGGGCCGCACGGGAAAATATTTGGCTCGAGGTGATGCCGTACGGACCGAGCGCAGCGTTTCACAAACATCTGTTAGATATAAAGTAACGCAAGTCAACATAGTATTTGATTTTCTATCTGGGTATCACACGGATTTGATTAGTAAACTGGCTGATGTAGACCTCACTGATGGTATGAAAATTGTAAGAAAGTGTCAGAAATGGGTTATTTCACAGAGCTGTGAGATTGTGAAACCTCTGTACAATTGTTAAATTTGTTTAGAAAACTCATGAATCATTCATGAAGAAAACACAATAGAAATCATGACCATGAAGGTGATTTTATATCGGATAAAGATTCGTCTTCATTTGCATAAACTTTAACTTGGATTTTCTCTATCCAACTTGGTTCATTTCGTAAAAAATCGGTACACAATGAGAACAAACATCATAAGTTTTCTAAGCCGTTTAATAATCTCGCAGATCGTGTTTTATCGGGTCTAAAACCACTCGGCTGCGCCTCGTGTTTTATACCCGATAAAACACTCCTGCTCGTTTATTAAACATTACATACATCTTTGTAAAACCAGTCATGCAGATATTTGCTTAGACTATTCATGCCCGCAATATTCTGTATTCATGTAGCAAAAATGTCTGAAGTTGAAATAAACATATAAGAAGAAGAAGAAGAAGAAGAAGAAGAAGAAGAAGAAGAATATTGTTATAATTATAAAACAAAAAAGAAAAGATTGTGAATATAAAATAACAAATCTATATAATATATACTTTTTTATCTATGAAAACATATTTGTAAAATAAATTAATAGCTCAAAACACGAGTCCAGCTCTTCACACTG